GAATGATGAATCGAGTGAATCGGAATAGATAAAATTGGTGAATATTGAAGAGACTTTGCCGTATTGATTGATGAAATGATTGCGCTCCAATAACTCGCAGTTGGGATGGAGATAAGTTGAAGGAATTGAGAAAGTGGTAAAAGTAAAGTTGACGGTAGAAGTTATGGTGGTGGTACAAGGAGGTTGAAGCTCAGATGGCGATTAAGAGAGAGTAAGAGAGAGAGAGATGGAGACTGGGGCTGGGAGCAAGAGAGTCATGCAGGTCTATGAGGGTGGGTACTATGACTGAACTGTAATTGATTGACTTATTAGTAGTGACCTAGTACTGACCCCGTACATACAGGACTAGTTGTTTTTGATGATAGAATTGAGCCTTGTGATTGAAGGTATTGGGGATTTATCTACTATTTATATCAAAGGAGGAGAGGTAAGAGGTATGAATGATAACAATGGGAGGGAGGGGATGGAATTAACAAAGTTTATTCATATTTTCTTACAAAGTTTGAAGAGGTGAGGTAAAACATCAATAAGACAATGGGGAAAGAAAGAAAAGAAACATGAAGATATATTTGATTCAAGTTAATACGTAGGTGTAATTATTGATTTCACTGATGATAGTATTATGGAGGTATGGAGGTAGTTTGGAGGTATGGATGGTATGAATGGTATAAATGATATAAATGATATAAATGATATAAATGATATAAATGATATAAATGATATAAATGATATGAATAGTATGAATACCTATGTAGTAAGGATTGTATAAACAGTATGAATAGTATGATGAAACCATGAAAACTATCTATCAAGTCAGCAACCATCTCGACCTTTCTGTACTCTTGAAGTTTTACTTGTGCTTGCGCATATGTACGGTAGGTGGGTAGGTAGGTAGATAAGTAGGTAGATAGGTAGGTAGGTATGTACCTATATATCTCTATATGCATGTGAGTACGCGTAAGAGAAGCACTCTATATTCCTTGGTTATCCATCGATACCTTTCCATTTGAAAAATACCATCTTACAGATATCCATCTCTATACTCTATGTTTCCCTAACATATTGACAGGAACAAAGCAATTGGCTGGCTGCACTTACCAACCCCCAAGATCCAATGGAACCGTAAGTAACCTTGCGGAGTAAGGAACCTACCGTGCTCCCTAGTAATTTAATGCTGCATTCAGTTCCAGTGATTTCTTCTTGGTGCTTTCATTCATTCATTCATTCATTCATTCATTCATTGACTTTTGGTCCTTTCTCCGATAACGATAACGATGAATCAGCTAACCGATAAGAACACCAATAGTATTAGAACTTGCATACCTATTTGCTTACTATCTATCTATCTACCTATCTACAGAGTAGTATTCCAATCAAATTTCAGATCACACCTAGGTATATCTTATACTTCGATATAAATACTAGATATCAACACATATATACACATATATACATATACCTCTACATACACACACAAACACATAGACATATATATATATATACATATACATATACACATACATACATATATACATATATATACACATACACATACATACACACACATATACACATATATACACATATACACATATATACACACACACATATATACACACACACATACACACACATATACATATATATACACATATACACATATATACATATATACACACACACATTAATATCTTCCAACGTCTACCTACATAAAAATCTGCACTCATTGCATATCCCTCCATGTATCTCCCAGGATCGATGATTCAAATCCAAGGTACCAAAAACGAGTAAAAAGGGGGACCCGTCCCTTCCAAGTAGTATCAATCATCCATCCATCGACCTTTTCCTGACCGAGTCACCGGCTATCTATTTGATGCCATCCGATTGAATGATAAAGATATGAAAAAATGCATCTAATAGTATGGGGGTCAGTGACCCAGGGTCAGTTGATACACCACACATTCTTTCTTGGTCAACTAAGTTCATCGATCATCGAACCCAATCATATATCCTAGGGATATCCTACATATCTTCTTCCAAACTGCAGTGTGCCGTCGAGATACTAGGTTGACTAGGTAGGTATCATGTAGGTACCTACTCATCTATCGTGTACAACTGCTACTCAACGACTTGATAGATGAATGAAGCTGGTTGCATTAATCGAGAGCACAGAAACAAAATGAGTCAAACTTTATATACCTAGGTACGTGCTAGGAGGAGGAGGCAGGTAAATACTGGGTGATTATACGATACGTCTGCCGCCACGATATAAAAACACAGCCACTGATTTGATTGGTAGTAGATAATCGATGGATGGATGATATATATGTATGTATGTATGTATGTATGTATGATATTGAATATCAAACTTTCTTCCAGTGAAAATCAAAATAATGATCGATTGTCCGCTTTCTCTAACCCTCCCACACAAACTCTCTTACCTTCCTCAATTATCTTCACATACTACGAGTAAGTCAGTAGGTAAGAAAAGATACCGCCTCGTTCCATTTCATCAATCACTTCAATCCAATTGGTGTTTACCGATCCATCCATCCATCCATCTCTTTCCTGATAAGAGCATCCATACTATCAAGACGATCTCTACCATTTCGTGCGACCACTCATTCTTTAGCAAATATCGAATAAGAGAGGGAGATTCAATTCTCATCACCTATTCATTCTTCTTGCTAATATCTTTTGTCTTACTTCTATCCTACAAATTCATCCTTATCATCAATGCGGAGGTCGAGTTGAGTCGAGACATCTTCTTTCGTTCTATTGGTGGTGAAGAAATAAACAAACAAACCATCATACGAGAATACACTTCGATATCTCATCCCGCATCGAAAACACCTCATGATTATAATGCTCTTCTATTTTCTATCATTACATACCTAGGTATTCAATACAAGTGGATGGACGAATGCGAATCCTCAAAAATGATGAAGAAAAGCCTTGAGAAAAATTGGGTAGTTGAGAGATTATACCTATCTTTTCAATATCTCTTCACAGGAAAGATTTACAACTATTGGAAGGAATTAAAGCATAGTTTGGTGGGACTAATAAGATTATGGTTCTTATCGATAAACAGATAGATATAGATAGCAAGTTAACGAAACGGCCGGTAGGTAGGTAAGGTTACTCGGGGTGTGAGAAATCGAATATAAATACATGTACCTGGTAGGTAGGTAGGTAGGTAGGTAGTAGGTATGCATTGCTGACTCGAACATTTCTCTTGGTAGATGGGTATGTAGGTAGATAATAAATGAATGGATGAATGAATATATCCTTTAGTTTTGAAGAGATATGAGGGATGATAGATGTTAGATATTCTTAATCACATGTTATTTACTTACTTACATATATAACTACTGTAATAGATATCTCAATTCCAGAATAACATTCAACAATAGATAAATATACCTAGTAAATATACCTCAAATGTAGATAACCGCCAGAACTACCTACCTAGTTTTGAACTTCCCCGCATCGAAATGACATATATCTCACTCCTATAGCAAATGCAAGACTCTTACTCTGTCGATATATCACATCACATGATTTTTTTAGTTGATCGAAGGTAAATCAATCCGGTGTGTAGTTAACTACCTACCCACCCAATCTTAATGCCGAGATCAAAGACCCTCGACACCTAGATTGCTACCTACCTACTTATAACTCTTTACATACTAACAAGTACTCTTGCGTCGGAATAATTACTCGAGATCTATAGAATGAAGATATATAGATACAAATACAAATACAAATCACCACCATCACCATCACCATCACCATCACCATCGCGCCCCAAGGTGAAAACTATCAAGGTTACTCGAGACCACGCCCTCAGTGGTGCTGCGAGGTAGGTTGTACGAGGTATGTGGGATTTGATTTCATCAGCAAGGTGCATAGATGTAGATGGGTGCAGAATAGTCATTTAGTTATTTAGTCATCAAGCCTAACCTACCTCTCTACGTTCTTTTTGAATTCATCTTCCACTTATGATGTATGCATTTGAGGGGCGGAAGGAGAGGAGTTTCTTGTATGTATATGAGTAAGGACTTTGGAATAGGGGTCGAGGAGTTTATATTGTTATTTTTTGATGTTCTTTGGTTCTTTGGGACTATTTTTTTGGCTTTTTATTCATTCTTCTTTTATATTTCGTTCATTCCTCCATCTATCCATTATTCCTCCATCCATTCATTCTATTTCCTCATCTTTTGGAGGGGGATTGGCAGGCGGAGGTGAGGAGGAGGAAGAGGGAAGCGAGAGACGGTTATAAGAATAGAGACACCCCGAGATAGAATAAATAGTATCTATCTACCTATCATCAACTATCATACAATATCATAAGTACCTACCTACCTACCTAATTACAATTTCTAATATATAAAATCTTATAAAAGTATGGAAATATTTACTTCTTTATTGATTCATTGCTTCTCAACTAGTGTTGAACTTGAAGTCAGAACGGTGTTGTATGTAGTATTGTGACTACGAGGTTGGTAGGAAAGGTGTAGGTAGGTGGGTAGGTAGGTTAATTACTTGGTACTACTTTAGTCTGTCTGCTTGTACTAGTAGAAATACCCAAAGTACGAGTACTCTCAATATCGAACAAATGGTTGATTGAGTGATTGAGTGATTGATGGGTTAACTATGTTTGATGTGGTTCTTTATATTTTGTTACTTTGAGATACTAGGTAGTAGGTAGGTAGTCGCTGGGAATGTTCAAGAGGAGAGGGTTAGAGTATCAATTATGGTATATATTCGATAACAAAAAAAATTGCTTAGAAAGGCGCAGTAGATCGCAGGTTAGATTTCCGAATGGTATGTGTATATATGCATTTGGTACTGCTTGTTCGAGGTAAAAAAAAAATTGGATTCAATTTGTATTAACTTGGAAATATATAGGAAAGTAAACCTTCAAACTCTACAATATAGACAAACCAGCTAGCTATATACCCACCTTCCTCCCTCCTCATCCCACACCTCACCTCACCTCATCCCTTCTTCCCCATCGCAATCTCCAACCTCTCCTTCTCAACATGCGCATACCGACACTGAATCAGATGTAATTCCCTCCACGCACCTTCTCCCATCGATCCATCACAATACGGACACATAGTATCCAGAGTATCTTCTTCTTCTGCGCCGCCGGTAAAAGTATCGCCAGTAGATGAAGGAGAGAGGATTTCGCCTTCGAGGGTTCGGAGTACGATGTCGTTGAGCCAGATGTTGAGGACAGAGGCGTTGAGTGGATTGGGGGGTGGGGGGGGTGGAGTGTGAGGAGCTGAATTGGGAGCTTGAGGGAGTTGAGTGGGACAGGGGAAGAGAAAGAGAAGGATGTGGAAGGGGAAAAAGTGGTAAGGGGGTCGCATCGAGAATTCGAAGGTTCTGGATGGTTAACTTACTTGGTTTTGGGGGTAGTGCTGCAGGTACCGCAGCAGCAGCTGAAGATGCAGCAGCTACTGTTGAGGTTACAGGCACAAAAGCGAATATCCCCTGGAGATCCTCTACAATATCCGCGACGCGTTCGGAGATATCTCGGCTGCGAGATTGGATGGTTGTGCTTCGACTTCGTGATGGTGCGGGATGACTTTGAGTTTTGGGGACTCGGTTCTTGGAATCGGAATTGGGGTTGGGGTTGGTTTTCGATTGAGCTTGGGATTCTGCTTGGGATTGTGCTTGCAAAGCAGCTCGAGCCTCGAATTCGATAGAGCACTCGGAGCAGATGCGTCCGAAGGGGTAGTTGCAGGAGGTGTTCAGGCAGATGATTGGTTCGCCGACGGCGAAGCCGAGATCAAATGAGGTGGACATTTTTCTGTGTGTGGGTGTTTGATTTGTGGATAGATAGATAGATGAGTCAATAGGATCTTGAGGTTTTGATTTCTGGATAGGATGAAGGACTTAGTATATATATGCATGGATTATTGTTCTTGAGCATTGTTCAGGTGTGTTTTGGTTTCATTTCTTTTTTGTTTTGTTTATTTGTGTTGTTTCGTTTCGCTTTTTGAGTGCTTAGGTATGTAGGTAGGTAAGTAAGTAGGTAAGTAAGTAGGTAAATAGGTAAGTAGGTAAGTGAGTCTTGAACAAAGAAGAGAAAGATTTTTTGTTTGATGATGGAGTCTTGGGAGTTTCTTTATGCGGTTTGGATAAAGGCATAAAGAGATAGAGAGGACGAAGAGGGATGATGGATAATGGATATTGTTCTGAGCATTGTTTTGTTTTGATCTTTTTCATGCAAGAGAGAGAGATACTCTTCTCATTTTTATCATCTTAGTGGAGGAGAGAAATTTTATAATTTTCCATCGTCTTTTTGAGTTTTTCGAATTGTGGTATTTCATGTTATTTTCTTCAATATTGACAGCAATCCATTCATCTATGATTATCAAAATCAACATAGTTATCTTTTTCTCCTCCTCCACCTCCTTCTTACGCTGTACCATTCACCGCTTCTTCATGCTTACCTGGAGATGAGATGAAATGATATAAGTGATTATTTCTCTACTGGCATGTATATCATTAATTAAGTTGAGGTTTCAGACAATTCAAATTGTCAGATTGATAAAATCAAATTAGCCATCCCCGTCCGCATCCCTCGTCCCTCATTCCTTATCTCGTGGGTAGTAAACTAACTCCCGAGTCTTATAGCAACATCCTCTTTCTTATTATCTTATCCCCATCCCCCCTCACACCAATCTCTCCTACACACCCCCCTCCCCCTCACCCCCAAACAACCGAACCATCTGTCCCTCAATCCCCCTACTAAACCCTCCATTCTCATTACTATCACTCCTCTTCCCCTCCTCTCGCACAGCATACATCCATTTTTTCTGCGCGACAGTAGGTCGATATGCAATATCTAGGGTGCCGGGAAGAATGGGGGGTTCTGTGTAGAGGTTAGAGGGATTGGAAGATGAGGGAGGATTTGTTGTTCTGGGTCTACTTGCTGTTACATTTTTATTTTCATTTTGATATTGATATGCAGCACGGGTTCTGGTTCTATCGGTAGGAGATGGATTGAATCTCTGACTATGTGTAAAAGTACCCCTACGTGGGAGATTACGAAGAGATAGGAGAGGCGGTGATGTGGAAACGGAATCTGGTGGTGTGCTGAGGGGTGATTCTAAGGGTGTATCGTTGGGATTGTATCGCTCATTTTGGGTTGTGGTTTGAGCTTCATTGTCAATTCCGATTTCACTGGAGGTTTCATTTCCATTTCTGTTTCTGTTTTCATCTCTATCTCCATCTCCGTTACTGTCCTCATCTCTTCTACTGTTTGGATAGGAATCAGAATAGGAAAGTCGAGGACGTTTGTTAGCTCGAATTGAGGTTCGATTTTGTGTTTCATTTTGAGCTTGAGCTGGGGCGGGAGTTTGAACTAAATCTCGAAGGGTATCTTGATATCCGGGTACAGTGGTTGTCTGAGATTGAGACAAAGGAGAATGAGAATCAGGAAACGGAGACGGAAAGTTGGTGTAAATCTCTTGATTTTGAGTTCGAGATTCCGAGTGGACTTGTGGTGAAAATTGAGGTTGATGGAAAGCTCGGTGGGAATCTGGGCGAACATTTTTGATTTCCGGGCGCAGTTATTGTTTGGGACTGTGAGAAAGGAGAATCCTCTGTGGGAAAAGGATAGGGATAGTTGGTATAGAAGTCCTGATTACGATCTTGAGTCTGCGAGTCGATGCGTGGTGGTGGTTGAGGTTGATGTAGATCTCGGTGGGGATCTTGATGGAGACGCCGATCACCGAGTACATTGGTCATCTGGGACTGAGAAAAAGGATTATCCTCTGTAGGAAAAGGATAGGGATAGTTGGTATAGAAGTCTTGATTACGTTCCTGAGTCTGTGGGTCTATTTGTGGTGGTGGTTGAGCTTGAAGTTGAATCTGAAATTGACCTTGGCCTGGACCCAAAATCAAATCTCTACCCATCGGAGTACGCCTAGGCCTAGGCACAACATGTGGAATGGCTCCAGGTTCAGGTCTTGGTAAGAGGTCTCGAGGTCTTGGAACCGAGGTGTTTTGGGGTGGAGGTCGTGAGCTTCCGGTTCGGGCTCGGGAGCTGCTTCGGGATTGAACTCTAGATCTGGCTCTAGATATATCTTGATGAGGTTGAAGTTGAGATGCAGCTCCAGATACTAGTTTTGGATCTAGATCTGGTGTGGATCTGGGAATGAGATTGGGGAAGGTGGGGGAGGGGTTTCTCGAGGATGCTGACGACGTATTTGAAGCTTGATTTGGTGGGTGTGATGGCTGTGATTGAGATTCTTGAGATGGAAGTAAACTTTCACCAGATTTACTACGTAAAACTCGTGGGACAGGTGGTGGATAGCCTTTTCCTGATGGTGCCATTTCTATTTGTTGGGGTGGGTAGATGAGTAATGAGTGGATGAGTAGGCAAGCAGTAGTTGTCTATGAGTTTGATCAATAATTTGGATGATGATTTGAAGTTTTAGAGGACAGGTCGGCTAGAGAAATGCAGAATTGAGTTGAGTTGAGTCGTGTTTTGTAGTTCCTAAAGTCAATGGAAGAAAGTGTTCGATTTCCTAAGTTCTTAGGTTCTAAACTATCAACTAAGTTCTTGAGAGTTGTAGAATCTAAAATAGAGGTCTTTATGTACACATTTTTATATACTCACTCATATATCTTTATCGAGCTAGCCAGTTAACCGTACATGTATGTATTTATTCGCTTAGGACTTTTCTACTGCATCAAATACCCAGATACTTTACCATTGATTGTGTTGTAGAAACACAAAGAATAATGAATGGAATAAGATAGATTAAGGTGGTATATGCAGCAAAGTGAGACCGTAGTAATATATTTTCTTCTTCTGACAAGGAAGTTAAGGGCGCCGTCGAGAAAAGAAAGTGAGGATTTGAAGAGGCAACTGACGAAGCCAAAGATACAGCTGAAGGTTTCCAGGATGTTCGACGTGATAGTACTATAGAACGAAAAGTACCTTGGTGTTCTCAATCATTTAATCAATTGCGAAGTTGAGAGGAAAGAAAGAAAGAGTTTATTGATTCTTGGTTCGTCTTTGATTCTTCACTGATGAATGAAAAGAAGTTGAATTAGAGTACATAACTTTGATAAATCTTTGCTTAGTAGAGAAGCTATTTCTGGGAGATAGGAGAAGCGATCGGGTTGCTTCGATTGTAGTCGTTTCACTCATTTCGTGTGAGGATGCTAGGGGTAGTAGATGAGTGCGTGAGTGATTGATTGAGCAGCTAGTAGTGAGGGAGAAGTGAGGAGTGAGGACTGGGACTTTTTCTGGGTTTGAGAGTTGGTGCATCCGTATGTATGATGATACGCAGTAGATAATGGTAATTGGAATTCGACTATCTAGAATGTCTATCTATTGGAATAATTGGGGATTAGTGGAAGGGTGAGGAAGGGAACATGAGAGCGGTTGTTGTAGTGTAGTGTGGTAAGTGTACTTGTCTGAAGATACCTATAGAGGAGAAGCCTCTGGATGGATTTACATCTTTCGTGTCGCTCCTACCTCCAGCCAGAGTAGGCTGATCTAATAGCTTCTGATTGCATCAAGAACCGAGTATTCAGATAATCAATAGAATTTTTGTGTTGACAAGAAAAAGGTAAGAGGATGTCTGGAGAAAGATATTATATGAGCAAAGTATTTGAAATCCCTCTACTCTTTAATAATTTCGTCGACCTTTTCTTTCGATACCAGTAAATACAAAGAAAAAAGTCCACATATAATCTCAAATGTCATGTATATATTATCTTTCCTTAACACATCGAATCTATAAAAAGAAAGTAGAAATAATCCTACCATTTTCATTTTTGAGAAAAAAGAAAAACTTAAACCGCTCCTGAAAACACAGACAGAATTAAAATAAATTCCGGTACGGGGAATTGAACCCCGGTCTCCCGCGACTTGACTGAGGCTCGAAAGCTTCGAATGAGAGGCGGAAATGCTAGCCACTACACCATGCCGGATGTTGTGTTGTGTTTATTGATGGGTAGTACCGAAAGTGAAAATATATTTACGATGTTGAAGCGAAGATTTTTTACAGAGATTTTCCCCTAAGGTTAAGCGAGGGAATGGGTGGGGCAGGAGGTTAGGATAGGAGTAAGTGGGGAGTCGCGTGGTCGGCTTGATTGTGCGAGGGATCGAGGTGGATTTTGACGTTTGGCACTATCCAAGGCTGTGATGATAATGGAAAAAAATGATATCGTGATGAAAATTCGAATGATTTAATTCGGTGCCTGGTGTAAAGGGGTCACTTCCAAGGTCTGCGGCTGGTCTGCGGCCGGTCTTCATGACACAATCGTAGTTTCATTGATTGTTGGGCTCAATACACTGACCGATTTAATATAGAAATCGAGTATTTTTGAGATTCAAGACGCCCCGAAATTACAATTGTAACTGGCGGTCTCTCTCTTCTTTCGTAGCTACTTTGCTCAATCCTCGGAGGGTCTGATTGAAAATTTACGATTTCTATCTCGACAATATTTTACTGTGTCAAGGTTATCAATTGAAATTGTTTTGATCGTGAAGTAGAAGAATTTCAAGTATAAATTCACGTATATAAGTAAACTTGTTGAAACCCTTATAAATAACACATACTATCTACTTGTGATATGATGTCAATTATTACTCAACCTTGGTCTTTTTTCTTGTATATAAAAATCGAGGAAAACACACAATTTGCTCAAGAGCTTGTAGCAGTGATTCAAGTCTATATATATCATTGAAAAAGACAGATTCCAAGAAATGATCATTTCATTATTTGTACAGGCTTCAGATCTTCGAGGTAAGAATGCTCTCTTCCCTTTGTCTATCTCCCGATTTGTAATTACATTTAAAGCCTGGAGAATTTCACATGACCTACATGTTCAAGGTTAACATAATTTATTCACCATGGCAGCTACTTCACCAACCAAATCTAGGTGCCTAATCGTCATTTCCAGACCAGCCCCTGGTTAAACCATAAGGGAGCTTATTCAAATAACCCAAACTTTATTCGTTCATATTACGAAATCGTCAATAACAGAAAAATTGTAAATTCAGCAATGGAACGAGATGGAACGATTCTCAAAAATTGAAATTTCAAGTAGTTGTCTGCACTACTGTAGCAATTGCCAAAGACCAATCTCCGCCTGACCCCTAGGAAATACAAATGACGGTTAAAACTTTCTCAGATATTCTTATCTATTCCCCTTACTCTGTTCCTGTCAATTTTGCCCCCTCATCCGTTCTTCATTCTTGTTCGGCTCTTCTTGTTATCTTCTTCCAGATCGTCTCTCATTCACATTCCTTTACTTCTTTTTCGATTGTCTTTGCGTACCATCTATGTATCTAATCACTTTTTCATCATTGGCATTATGTGTCCTTTCATGCTTTAAATCCATCTTTCGTTTTTCTTCTTTGAATCTCCGTGCATCCATGTTTTGCTTGTTATATGCCCTTAAATCACTATCCTCTCTCTCTCGTGTAATCTCCGGATATGGCTCAAGGTCAGGCGGGAGCAATGGCGGAGGAGAAGGAGCCGGGACACGGCGGCTTGGAGGAAGTGATCCCTTAATATTATGAGGGTTTACGGGTCTTTTACTATCAGGAAAGCCGCGATCGGTTCTTAAAGGAGAGCGTCTACGACTACGAGGTTCTCGAGGTTTATCTGTATGACCACGTCCAAATAAATTTTGAGGCTCATTTATCGGTCCAGGTCGACCATATCCTCCATCTTTGTTTTTAGAGTCATTTTCACGTTGAGAGTGACGACCCGATGGATGATGTTTTGAACGTTCAGGTTGAACTTCATCTGCATGGTCATCTCTATATTTAGTGTGACCTCGATAATTTTGAGATGCCATAGGCTCCCTAGCGTCATATTCAGAGCCATGATCATCTCTGTCACCTTCATTTCCATCTCGACGACGATGAAGTCGACGATCTTGAGGGACTAGAGCCTCCTTGGCGTAATGATCAGAACGGCCATGACTACCATCTTCTTCTTTGTGACGTTTATGCCGCTCTCTTTGAGCTTTATCTCTATCTCGACGAGGTTCTTGAGGGGCTTCAGGTTTCTTAGCGATAAAGCTAAAATGATCATCTTCATCTTCATATTTGTTTGGATGTGTACGCTGACGTTTAGGTCCATTTCCTTGACCTTTATCTCTATCTCGACGATGTGGTCGAGGAGCTTCAATAACTTCAGGTAGATAATCATCTACATTTCTCATTCGATGTGTGCCTTGAAGATCGTTGTGATTATCTCGAGCCTTCTTAGGGGTAGATTCAGAAAGTCGATGATCTTTATCTCCATTGTGACGGCCATCCCCACGTTCATCTTTACGACCATGTCTACGATCATCTAGATCATCTCGAGATACTATACGCTCCCCAATGCCATGTCCAGAATCATGATCCTCTCCATATCCAGGTGGAAGATTTTGTTGTCGTTCAAGTCGACGTCTTTGTCCTTTGTATGGACGGGCTGGTAGCGTCCTAGTGGCAGCGTTAGGATCATAGTTATCCTGAGACATCTCTTAATTCGAATGGATTGAATAAGTGTATAAGAAGAATCTAAGTCGAAAGAAATATCAACACTCAAATGTAAGTCTATAACTTAACTGGAAACTGTCAAGAAAAAAAAGCAAACCCTACGACTCACCAATACTTAAGTATAAAACCCAACACAAAAAATCAACGTTGCTGCCTTCAGAAATGCGCAATACAAACTCCAACCCGCGACCGACTGGAAATTTAATTATCAGTTATGAGGTCATGACACCTGATTTGACACCCTAGGCAACATTATAATTTTAGTTTCTCGAGTTGGAAGAAATCTTTATTATTGATTAGATAGATAATTTTGGAAACTAGATTGCTCTACTCTTCAAGACTGATTCATCTCTAGATATTTTCCCCAGTCGATGAGAGGATTGAATTTCGGAATTTTGGTGTATCCATTCATACATACACCTCGCTAATCTTAGTAACTTATCTATCTATATCTCCCAAAGAATCCACAACAGCGAGTCTCTCGATGAAGAGAATCGAGTACAGCTAATCAAGAAAGAAAGCAGAGCTACTTTCAGAATGCATACTCTCATTCCTATATACTGCATTTATCTTTCCCTTGTCTCTCATCATCTTTGATACTCTTCTTGATCAACAAATCTTTAATTAGAACCGATGATAACATAGATAGATATTATCTCATCTCATCCAATCCCGTCAATATAGTTCCTGTGTCCCAACTATCTACTGCTCAGTAAATCTATAGCCTCAATCTATACTCTCAATCTACCTCTTTATCTTATCACTTAAACCGCTACCTCTCCATAATTATTCCCCTCCACCTCTCAACAATCTCTCTGTAATCTCACTTCAAAATTCCCCTTCCAGCATTATTCCTCAAGCACCTCCCTCAAAAGTATTTCTTCATATCACTTTCCTCTCTCCCGCTTTTTAATATATATATATATATATTTAAGCACAAACCCTTGATTAAAACCCTCCCATCAAACACCGTTTTCCAAGCATTTCTATACAATCTTTCATTTCCAAATACTTATTATTACAATCATCTTTCTATCCTATCCTCCTTTATATATTCACTCATCTTCTAACCTACTTTCACTTAGCTTTCTTATCCTCTTTCTCACTTACCCCTCCCTCGATTTTCTATATTACCACCCCCTTACAACTCATCGATGATTTGATCTCTCCAGAATCTCTCTTCAACAATCGCCTCACAATATCCCTTCACACACCTCCCTCCAAGAATCCCCTTCTAAGCCCTACCTTCAATCTTCCTCCAATACCTCTCTCCAAGTATCACCCTTCAATCTCCCTTCAATCTTCCTCCTCTCATTTTAATTTTCGCTCTCTCACCCTCTCACTCTTCTATTCCTCCTCTTCCCCTCCAAATACTACACCACTCACCTTCCCAATCACCTCTACAGCCTACTTTCACTCCTTTTCATGCTATTTCATCTTCTTCCTTTTTTTCTTATTCCTCTTATTCTCTTCCCCCTCTTATTCTTCCTCTCTTCATATCCCTCTTTTTATTCCCATCCCCATTCTCATTCGCACCTCTCCACCTTTTACATTCTCCACTCTCTTTTAGCTCATTAGGCATCCACACACCATACATAACATCACACTGATCAATCTTCAATTTTCAATGTTTCATCTCTCTCTCTCTCACGCACAACAATGCATACATCATTTCCACACATCAACCATACATCATACCACACGTCATTTCAATCCATCCATTCAGCAATATTCTCTGATATTCTCTAACCTGCTATGCTATGCTATGCTATGCTATGCTACATGCACTAGGTACAGACGCTAAGTACACACCCTTTTCAATCAATCAATCAATCAATCAATATTCCTCCATTCATTCAAAGGTCCCAAACCAACCCAGCGCCAAAAAGGGTATCATACCACTCTTCCTTTCCATTCCCTTCCCATTCCTTCCCTTTCTACAAATTCCACACCACATAACCCATACCTTCCTGTATCCTGCCCCACCATTTTAATACGCCAAGCAATGCAAACAATTTCCTTCTTCATCCCGTCATCCTCACTTCACACCCAATTCCTCCTTCAACTATCCCTCTCCCTCACCTCTCTCATCTACCTCCCCAATCCTTATTCCGACTCCTGCCCTATCCCTGACCATTCTCCTTCCCCCTCATCTCCCTAGCCTTCTGTTCCGCAATCCTAACCCTCTCCTGCAATCTCAACTTTTCCAACTGCAACGTCGGATCCACATCAATACTATTCCCTACCGACATTTGCATATGCACTCCATTCGATGCTGTACTCGTACTTACCGGAGGTCCTCCTACGCCTCCTCCTGCCCGCGAACTTCCACTTCCACCTCCGTTTCCGTTTCCATTCACATTCCCATTCCCTTGCGCACCATTCGCACCCGCTCCCGGCCCCGTTCTCTGTTTCCCAGCCGGTACCAAATCCTTAACCCATTTCTGAGCCTCCTCACAACCTTCCATAACATATTTCAATGCTAGCGTTGCTCTCTCCTTCAAATACTCATTATGTCCATCATAAACACAACAATTTAGTAACGGCATAATTCCATCCTGATTAAGTAATTGTTTTTGCACAATTGGATTTCCTGGTCCTTGTCTGCGCGGATTATTAGGTGCCACAAGCGAAGTGAGAATGATAAGGATTTGAATTTTAATACCTGACCAAGGGAATTTATGTGGTGTATCATGAAGAGGAGGAAGAGATTGTCCTTGACCTGGGAACTGTGGTGCATTTTGCGATGTGGGACTTTCATATGGTCTTTCTGTTGCTTGAATACCTCCTCCTTGTTGAGGAACAGGTGCTTGTCTCCGATTTGGTAATGGTTGTTCCGAAAGATTCTTTTTAGCAACACCTAAATCAAGAGCTCTAAGAAGAGCAATAAGTTCGTAGACTGCTTCCCATTCAATAAGAAGTGGTCGCATCTCTGGAATTTCGGCTATAACAGATATAAAATCGAGATACTGCGAGAGTCCATCTTTAGCACGTTCCATATCCCATAAATCAACGGGAAAATCATTAGGATCGCTATTCTTAGTTCGAATTTGAGCTTGCGCGTGAATAAGAGCAATACAATCAGGTACGACTCGTGTACGGAAATATGTAAAGAGGAAATGTATAAGTTTTGCATCTCTGTTGTAATCTCTTAGATCATCGTAGATAGGACTGTCCTTTCGAGCGCGGAACATGTAGTTGATAAGACGTAAAAGAACAGTTTGTGCCGGTGACACAATATCCTTCATAATCCTCAGCGAGCTCCAAGCATAAGGCAATAAAGCATTATGATGGAAAGACTCGATGATTTGAGCAGTAATTTGGAAAATGAAATGTTGATCGGTTTGTTCCCAAACAGCGATAAAAACCAACATCTCGCGAAGAAGATTTTTGCCACAATCCAAAGCCAAAAACATTTTACATCGTGTCTTCTGAAGATTCTCACCAGCTGGTGTAAGTCCTGAGCCCATTGAATCGACAATACAAGCTTTGACAGTCATATGAAGAGCTTCGATTTGTTTCGTGTCGAGAATGTTGGGAATTTCGGTCAAAAGACCTCTCAAAGGTCCTTCGGCATAAGACTCATCATCATCCTCCTCATCCTCTTCTTCGCCATCATCTTCACCATCATGACCATCCATGGATCGAGTATCCCCATCAATCTCATCATGTAGAGGTGGTTCCTCCAACTGTTCATCCTGGTCATAAGCATCCTGGTCCTGGAAAGCTCGTTGAGGAAGAAATCTTTCCATAGCAGTTTCTTTACAAGCCTCTGCACGTTTTATCGCATCTTCCACGGTAACCATCTTCACCACCCATCCTTCATAATTCTGATCTCTTTGGCGCTTCCACCAAATATCAATCTCATGTGAAACACGGGCGTAAATTCGATCTTGCTCATATTTATCCGTCAATTCAGGTTTCCAAACCGGTGTCGTTTCTTCTGGATCATCTTCCTTATCCGCATCAGTCACAGTAAACTCGTCAATTTGTGGCAACGGTCCAGGTGTGCACTCCATATCCGCTTCCGCAGCGTATTTCTCCAGAAGTTCCTTGGCCGTCTCATCCTGATCTGCCGAATGTCGAGTCAACCAATTCCTAACCTCATGATAAACCTTCTCCACATTCAAATCATCCGGAGGAAGTTCATGAACTGGATCATTATGCAAATCATTATCGAAAAGCATATCGAACCAAAACGACATCTTGAATCTATCATTACCCATAGTCCAATTATGCGTATGTTGTAAACAAGTGACCAGAAGTTTTTTATCTGCGAAAGAAATCAGTATGATCCACAAACCCCATCCTCACTCAAGATGAACCAAAGTAATGGCATCCCCAATACCCACCCCACCCCAACCCAACCACAAACAAAAGAAAAAACTCACAAAGTTCCGTCACCTCATTCAACCTCCCCCTACTATTATCATCCACATTCTCCCCATCATACCCCTTACTCGTCACATTCACACACAGAATAATCAACTTATGAACCTGTTTATCCAACCCCACCGCCCTACAAATCTCCTGCGCCGTCTCCTTAACCGCCAACATATTCCTACTCACCACCAGCAAATTATTCAAATACCCCAAATCCTCCGTCAGCACTTCAAAATTCTTCAAGATAAGCGCCACACTTTCCGACACGTCCGGGCCGGCAGGAACCCCCTGTTCAGAGTACGATTCGCGCAGCGAGCGCGAGACGAGGACGGGAACCGCCAGGTAAAAAATCCGCTGCAGACGCATCCAGATATCGACGTTTTTCGCGAGAGCTTCGCGTACCTCGCCGCGCGAAAGCGACATATCCAGTGTACTCCTGATCATTTTTCCCAAGCCCTCCATGGTTTTTCTTCCCAAGCCCGCTCCACCACCGGGTCCCCATCGCATTTCCAGCATGGTCAGCGTAGCCAGAAAACCTCTCTCTTCCAACCCATACGTGTTCGTGCGTGCGGAGACCCTCTTGTTGATTTCGAAATGG